GTTAAAATTCTAAAAATTTTCGAAAACAACTTTTTGAGTAAAGGGGTTTTTCTGAACCCTAAGTTGCAAGCTTCCATAGAAAAAGATTAGATTAGATAAAATGGATTTTCTGAAAATTTATTTTCATGGCTTATTGCCTTTTTTCTTTTCCTGTTAGCTTTCATTCAGCCTCATCCATCACGGAACGATTCTTGATTTTCCCCACCCAATTTGGAAGAAATCTTGCTCCCCAATTTGGAAGAAATCGATTCTTGATTTTCCCCACCCAATTTGGAAGATTCCCTTAAACTTTGTCTTCATCTTCAGCATTATATCAGACACAATAATTGCAAAATATGGCAAAAATATTGAAATTTCCATATTTAGTATCAAAGTTCATTGAAATATATTCGCCAAATCGTTTCCCTGAGAGATTTTCAAACAAATAAACTCATTTTTAGACCCGATTATCGGGGCTATATATTAAACCCCTCTGTGCCCATGTCTAGCCACGGATCCCATAATACTCTACTTTCCAGCTAAGATTTACCTTCAAGGAAAATGCGCAAAGTGAGGCATAAGTAAAAAAGTATTCATTCCTCAAGTAACTAATTATTGCCTTGCAACTAACTAATCTTTAGGTCCAATATGGGAATGGTTGGAGCACATGTTCGATATTTTTCTTTTTTTCTAAATATGGTATTTTATTTAGACTTTCTGAATCATTCTTTACCCCTTTAAATAACTTGAAAATTTGCATAACTTTCGAAAATACGAAATTTCGATTTGAACAGCGTTTTTTCTTAAGTTTTTTCTTTTTTTGAAATTTTGTTTTTCAGCGAGCTTAGAATCATCGCAAAACTTGGAAAATAGAAAAATTCTTTAAAAAAGTATTCAAGCCTTAGAAAACGAAATCTCACAGATATTTTTTCCGTTCTGAATCATTCTTTTCAAAAAAAGCGAACTAAAGATCTGAGTTAAAGTCTTGAGATCTTTGATCGGAGCCTAGTTTATGAGTAAGTTCAAAAGAAAAAAACAACTTTATTTAATAGATCTATTTGATATTGATAGTATTCATAAATCTATTGATAAGTTCCTCCAATTCATAAGTCCTATATTTCTAAGCTTTTATCATTCTTTTTTTACAGAAGAATTATGTCAAAAAAGAAACTCTGGCAAGGATCCAACGTTTTTTTTTCTTTTTCCCAATCGAAGTCTAAGTAAATAAGGTGAAAAGCGTGTTTTCCCATTGAAGAAGCAATTGTTTTCGGATTGAAATGGAAAACAAAACGAATATTGTCTCTTTGTAGTCTTTGATTCTTTCTTAACAACAATTCATTCTTATTCTTCTTATCATTCAAAAAACCAATATGTTTTTCTTGAAATTTTTGTCATAGACAAATAGACAACTAAATTCCATTCCACACAATCTCTAAAGATTCCCCTTTCTCTTCTCAAATCTCGAGTCTATCCATGTTTTGATCTTGTCAGTATTTCTTTCTTTTTTCCTTTGTTTTTCCTATTGCATCAGCTCTAGACACTCTGTGCCAAAAGTAAACGTTTCCCATGGCTTTCCGATTAAAATTTTTGTCCTGTGCTTTTTCAGAGATATCATTTCTCAAAATAACTTATCTATTTTGAAATCTAGATAAGAACTTAGGATAGATTCTCATACCGTAAATACTGTAATATTGCCCCTTCAAGTTTATCAAAAAATCTGGAAAGAAACTGGTTTGAGCCGTGAGTCCTTAGCTTACAAATGTCATTAAATTTATATCATTTCTAAAGAAGAATAATAACTTGTTTTCTAGTATGAATCTTATTAGATTTTATTTAAAAAATTGTCCATTCCAAATTGTTTTGTCAAAAAAGTTTTCAATTTTTCACTCTCTTTCCCGTTTCTTTCAATCTAAGGCCATGAGCTCCTTCCGAAGCCCCACCTCGAATCGATCAGAGATCAGAGAAAAAAGAAATTTTAAATTTAAAAAATTGTCCATTTGAAAATTCAAATAAAAACTGTCCCAAAAATCATAAAAATGAATAAAAAATGTCTTTCCAATGATCAAAAACTTGTTGTTTTGTCAAAAAAGTTTTCAATTTTTCATTTTACTAAATCTTTTTCTCAAAAAAACATGTCATTTTTGTTTCAAAAAAAATAAACGAAAATCTTTCTGCTTTCTAATTTTTAAGTCCAGAAAAACGAAAAAAAGAGAAAAAGTTGAGGATGTTAGTTCGATGAAAACTTTTGAGCTTTTCCCTTGTTCTTGTCTACCCTCTCTCCTCCCTTTGCTCTTTCACATCATAACCAGCTGATCGAATACCCACTCTCTTTCCCGTTTCTTTCAATCTAAGGCCATGAGCTCCCTCCGAAGCCCACCTCGTTTCGCTCTTTTCATTTCTTTTAATTTCTTTTTTTTCTCTTTTTCCTCCTTTCCCTTGCCCCTTTCCTCCCATTCCAGCAGGCCGATTGTGTCTGCATCTGCATGTGTGCGATTGTGTCTGCATCTGCCTTAAAAAGTTACTTAATTATTGATCGGAGTTACGATTTAGTTAGCTATCGAATATCGAAAGCTTATCGATATCGATAAGTATCAATAAAGGTTTTAAGGTGCTTAGTCATTACATATTGCTATGTAAAATAGCAATCAAAAGCTGATATTCTTGACTTTCCAATGAAACAATTTTCTAGAACAGTTGCTGTTCTAGAAGCGGAGATCTGAACGGTCTTAAAAAAGAAAAAGCCAAAAAGTCAACGATTATCTGGCCTAAAAAGACCTACAAAAGATCTAAAAAATACGGTAGCTATTGTCTTGCTACAGTACAACACCAGAGTATACTTATCTTTGTTTATTTAAAAAATAAGTATCAAAATGTTTAATCTGTGTTCCATATCGAGCATAATCAAGCTAAACCCTTTTAAAAGTGACGCGGCGCCAAAGAAAAAGCCGAGTAAAGAGCGGAGTCGCTTGCTCAATCTTTGCCATTTCTAGCCTCACTCTTTTCCCATCTGGGATGCAAATTAGCAAATTTCCGACTCATTCTTCGAAGCAATTCAACAGTTTTGATTCAACAGTTCATAAAATTTCGCTTTCACTCCAACACTCGGAAATATTTGAGAGATTTCTCTGAAATGTTCCCCCTCTTTCACTAATCATTGTCTCTAGGGTGAACCTCGTTTTTCTCTTTCTCTAATCAGTTTTCAGGGTACGGTAATCTTTTTTATTTTTCTGAAAAAAGTATAAAAAAACTTCAAAAAATGAGGTCAATATTTTTTTCCGGTAGTTTTCGATGATTAGGCTGCCAAATAATTGAACCTCTACGGTTCAATTATTATATGGTGACTGTACTCAGACAGACAGACAGCCGACCGACTTTAGAGCATTAAAAAGTGAAAAGCCGAATACACTAGAAGGCTTGTGTTTGCACCATCTTTACACTCAAAGTACGCGACAAAGAATGGAAAATTAAATTGAAATTTTTGAACTTTGATTCCCAAAAATTGGGAAAAAAGACTTCAAAAAATGAGGTCAATATTTTTTTCCGGTAGTTTTCGATGATTGCACAATAGGATGCATCTAATGCCAAATAATTGAACCTCTATCAATGAATACGGTGACGGAGTACTGTACTCAGACAGACAGACAGCCGACCGAGTACTGTACTGGGAAAGTGTAAACACTCGTCCTTCTGGTGGACTCGATTTTTTCGCATGAAAAGACTTCAAAAAATGAGGCCAATATTTTTCTCCCTTGTAGTTTTCGATGATTTCACAATAGGATGCATCTAATGCCAAATAATAGAATCTCTATCAATGAATAGACCAACAAAAAAGGTGTCCTCAAAACGGATTAGTGGGATTTATTTCATATTCCGCGTTTCTTTTTTGTTCAGTTCTGTTTACTTGGCGATTTGCAAATGGATCCTCAAATTTACGAGGGGAAAAACTGAATGAGAAACCCGAAAATTGGAGAAAAATCGGGGATTAGATTGGGGAATTGTTTGTCTTCGATTCGATTAATGGATGAATTAGAAGAAATGAAGAGTCGAGAATAAAAAAGACACTAGACGGTGACGGAGTACTGTACTCAGGCAGACAGACAGACAGACAGCCGACCGATTACTTTACTCGGAAAGCGTAAACACTCGTCCTTCTGGTGGACTCGATTTTTTCGAATAAAGGATTTTAATTTGAGCAAAAAGTGGATAGATATTTGGAATGTCTATATCTGATTGGTGCTTGCACAGAGCTTATCCCAAAACGCCCAGTTTGAATCCCCTTGTCAGATTTGCGTTGCATAGTAAAACCTATTTTCAGCGCATATTTATCCCCAAATTTCTTCACCACCTTTCGATCAAAAATCAAAGGAAAACCAAGAGCTCTGGCGCCACAAAACATTTGGGAAAACATCGTGATGCGGTGGAAACCATTAATCAATTTACTTCAACATTTCCCCAAGAGAACGATCAGATAAAGCTTGTACCTTCAATGACAGTCATCCCAAATTTAGCTCACCTCTTGGGGACAAAGTTCTTTACTTTTCACTTTTAATTTTTACCCACTGGCCAAAAATGGTAAACAAAGAAAAAGAAAAAGGCGAAAAACTGGAGAAAAGATTGGATTGATTGGATCGACCCCGTTAGTCTCCAAGGACACAAAAACAACGAGAAAATATTAATACTGAACAAGATTAAAGAATATAGAGAGACTCAGAGATGGAGGAAATGCTCGAAAAGAACGATATTTGTCATCCGATTTTGGCATTTCGCCGAGAGGTTTTCTCGCCTCAAAGAGGAGCCAAGTCTCTCCTCGACGAGACTTTGCGGGAATTTGAGAGAAAAATGAGTAAAGAAATTGAGAAATTCCATAGCTTGAGAGAAAGATGCAGCACACAGAGGGATGCGAGAACGTCTGTATGGTAGAGATATCAAGCAAGGAGTTCGTGATTGGTGGCTAACGAGGGAGAGCAGACGGCGAAAGGGCTCCCCTTCACCCCCAGACATTGCCCCTTTTCGTCGTCTCATTTCCACACATTCTCCGCACGTCCACTCGGATCACTTTGTCTCAAGGCTTCACCCGTTTTCTTTGTCGTATTTCCCCATACTTTGATCAATTCATCGATCGTTTGACTACCTTCATCGTATTCCTCCAAAAACGGGGCACCCAATCCATCCGCGAGCACAATCCGAGCCGACTTGGATCGAGCAGAAATCGAAAGTGATGCTCGGCACGGCACAACCACCAGCATTTGTTCCACCAACATCCATGTGGAATCCAGTGGGTTTCCTCGGTGGTACTCAACCATTACCCACTCTTCCACCACCACTCATTCACCCCCAACATCAACCATTACAACCACCGATGTTCAACCTGGTGAGTCGATCTTCTATAGATACAGTAATCTTTATAATGATACTTTTTCTTGCCTTCTTGCCTTCTTGCCTTCTTACCTTCTTGCCTTCTTGCCTTCTTGCCTACTTCCTTCTTACCTCCTTGCCTACTTCAAATCTACAAATCTACTTAACCTTAACCTGTAAACTTTCTCACAAGATTCTGACAACTTATACTTGTACTATTATATTCATTGAAGATCCAGGCGCTGTAGCTCAATCCAGCTGCATCTGATCAGCCCAGCCTTGTCAATCTTCAGCTTCTACTGCTATTCTTTGAGCCAGTTCAACTCTTATTCTATAGTACTAAACTTTGGGCTTAACCTAGTTACTCTATTAAACCCTAATCTCATTATCTGTTTGATTGAAGATTTGGCAAGTCTCTTTACAAGTTTTACGATGATGAACCTTATGAGGCGAATGTTTTACTGCCCTGGGCAGGTCACTTGTAAGTTTCAAAGCTTTTTTGGCTTATTGCCTTTTCTTCTTGCTTCCTGTTAGCTTTCATTCAACCTCATCCATCACGGAACGAGTTTCGATTTTCCCACCCAATTTGGAAGAAATCTTTCTCATAGACTTGATTCCGTAAACTTTCTTCAGCAATTATATTTTCTCGCTCAGAAACAACAATTTCAAAATATTGCAATGTATTGCAATGAAATTTTCATATTTATTATCAAAGCTCGTTGAAATCCACCCATATTCCCCAAATCGTTTCCCTTACTTAAGAGATTTTCAAAAAATAAACCCATTTGATCGTTTAAACTCATTTTTGGGGCAAAATCACCCGCAAGGGCTATATATTGACCCCCTTTTGCCCATCTCTAGCCGCAGATCTCAGATAAATAGAAAACTGAAATGAAGGGGGAAATGAGACCGGAGAATGAATGCAAAAGGAGCTGGGAGGACATTCAGATAGGAGCGTCGCAGCCTCTCCCCTCAATCGATCCCCGGACCACCTCTCAGCCTTTTTTTACCCCAAGGCCCACTCATACACCCCTCTTTCTTTCAGTTTTTAGTTTTTTCTTCAAAACTTTCTTTTTTTCTTCAAAACTAAACGCAACAGGCCTCCATTTTGAATTCTAATTCCAGATTTTTCTGTCTAAGCTCATCTGACTCCATTTCAAAAAAATGAACCGAATTCTCGAATTCTCGACTGCTTTTAGCTTTTCATTAGACATTCTAGTCATATTTGGTTGACTTTCGTCAAAAATTTGCTCGAAAGACAAATTCTTAAAATAGTTTCTATTGGATGGAAAGGCTGCTTATCGGGATGGGCAATCGGTGGAAGGAAGGGGAAGGACGGGGAAGGCTGGGGAAGGAAGGGGAAGCGAGGGAAAGGGAAGGGAGGGGGAAACAGTGAATGAATGAAAAGAGAATGAGAAAGGAAAACATTTCCCTCATTTTTTCCCCAATCCCCCAATCAAACTGTTTGGTCGTATTTTTCGGACCTTTGCACAAAACGTGGATCGGGGGTAAAGTTGAGGGAAAGAGAAAAGGTGGGAAGCGCGGGAAAGTCGACCCATCCTCACCCCTATTGAATGTAAAAACGTGGAAAATGTGAAGAGTTTGAGAGTGCTTTTCAGGCCAAAGCTTTGGACTTAGCGTTGAACATTGCTGAACAAAGCTAAACTGTACATCAAACTACTCTTTAAACCTATATCAACCTTATGCCAAATTCTTTCGGGGAAAATTTCCCTCTAATTTAGCTGTATTTAAGAAAACAATAAGTAAATAGTCCTGTTCTATCAAAATCGAGATCTATTTTTTGATTCTTTTTCCAAATCTGATGTCATCATTTTCTTTATATTTATTCTCTTTATCCGATTTTATTTTTCCCTTCTTTGGTAATCTTTGGCTTCATCTTGAAAAACCTTTCCTAATCAACTTTTCCTAAGCGATCTCGTGAAAGCCATTTATTGGAATTTCCCTTGGTTTCATTTCTTCATTTCATTCGTTTCGTTCAACGAATCGATCAGAGAGGGTCAGTTAAAAAGAAAAAAAGAAAAAAAACCAAAAAAATAGAGTGGGCAGACATCGAAAAAATGAGGGGAAAAAGCGAAAGGAAATGTCTCTCTTTTCCCCTCCTTTCCACCTTTCCACCAAAAACGAAAAAAAGAGAAAAAGTTGAGGATGCTAGTTCGATGAAAACTTTTTCTTTTCTATCTTTTGAGCTTTTCCCTTGTTCTTGTCTACCCTCTCTCCTCCCTTTGCTCTTTCACATCATAGCCAGCTGATCGAATACCCACTCTCTTTCCCGTTTCTTTCAATCTAAGGCCATGAGCTCCCTCCGAATCCCCACCTCGTTTCGCGCTTTTCATTTCTTTTTTTTCCTCTCTTTTTCCTCCTTTCCCCTTTCCCCTTTTACTGCCATTCCAGCAGACCGATTATGTCTGCATCGACAAAATGATGCTTTTTTTCTTTTACCCCTCTCTTTTTAGCTTAAGCCTAGGCAATAATTTTTTCCTTTGCTGAGCTTTTTCTATTACCAAAGTAGATCAAATTCAGATAAAATCTGAAGAAATCAATTTGCTGAAGTTGCTAAAGTAGTCAGAATTTGAAATGTTTAAAGATATAATACTCTGCTTCCATTTTTAGTCATTATATACATGTTAAACTTATCTAAACTTACATTTAACGGTCTCTTCTTGTTCTTTATGATAGGTTTGTTCAATATCAATAGTTCGATTTAACCGCAATAGTTGAATTTAAATGTTAGATTGATTGTCAATAATGAAAAAGATTGCCAAGAAATCGAATAGAGAATAGATAATACTGACATTTCTGATATCGATTCCCTTTCGATGTGAACTCTAAATCGATTCTCTTCCATAGGTGTTCTCGCTCGTAAACGGTTCGCTCGTTCGATGCCAAGAAAATCGTTCACGAAAAGAAAGAAAAAAGCTGTCTGGCAAGATTGGTTGGCAAAAACCAGTCTCTGACTGAGTGAATGACTGACACGCAACCCTTTCCTTTTCTCTTCACCCTTGCACCTTCACTCTTCAATGGAGGGTTTCTTGTTGAACTTCCCCCTTTCCCTTCAAATGAAAGCCTTTCCGTTGCTTTCCTTTCCATTCTTTCCTTTCCTTTCTTTCCTTTCTTTCCTTCCTTTCTTTCTTTTTTCTTTCTTTCTTTCCTTTCCCTTCCTTCATCGTGCCATTGGAACGTTTATCTGATCATGTCCCCCATCTCTTTTCCATTCATTTGACGATTCTTTTCTCCGATAAACAGTCGATTTTACACACATCCGTTTTGCAAGAAAAACCCATATTCAGATTTTAGATATTCTATAGATCTAAATGTTTAAATATTCAATATATCTATATATTGAATATCGTTTCCTCTTTCCCTAATCTACGTTTCCCCAGTAATTTTACATTTTAACTTTTAAGCCATTTTCTAATCTTTCGATTCATTTCTCCAATAAACCCCACTTTCCAGCATTTTGCTTACCCATTTCAAATATTCGTCAATCGATCGATAAAAACAAAAATTCTCAAAGCGATGATTTCCCCTGTTTCCCTGTTTATGTGTACATAAAAAAATGGGGAGCGGAAAAAAAATCATCTTTTTTTAATAAAATCTAGTTTTGATTTTTTCATTTGATAGCTTTGATACTGAGCTTTGATACTGAGCGATTGATGCTATTTAGTAGCTAGAGTAACCCCAAGTACTATCGTTAATCTTACAGTACGGTGACTGAACTCCAGTTCTTAGATGCTACAGTAATCTAACGGTATTGTATCCATCAGATCGCGTTTTTAGTTTTCCTTTGCGTTCCACGAAAACCACTCGCTTTTCTAGCCAACACAGCTAACTGATTCAACGACTATAGCTGAATATTTACATATTTTATCCACTCAATTTCCAGCTGACCGCCCCGTACTCTTGTGCAGACAATTTGACGAATCTCTCCTCGCAAGGAAGACCGATTCCCGGAAACAACTCTTCAGGTGAGGTGTTCAAGGTTGATTTGTTTTTACGAATCAAATAGGGCAATTGGGGAAGAGGCAAACAGGTAAACGAGACAAAACAATGACGTGTCGGAAAGGGGTCAAGGGACACAAAAAGAGGGGAAAGTTCGCTCAAACCGGCGCTGTTTTCATGATCTGAAATGTCTAGAGAAAGCATTGGTTTGGCTGCCAGCCAGACACTTCATACAATTAGCAATCCTTTTGTACTTTTGCATAAATCCAGGGTTGAATCGAGTAGAATGATTCTATGATCCAATTCCGACCGGGAGTGTCTGTCTCCTCTCTCGGAGATGAACTTTGTGTGGTGTATTGCCCCTTCTCTGCCCTTATTTATTTGTTGGGGAAACCTGTTTATAAGAGAAAGTCATGTGATGGTCAGATATCCCGCTCGTTTCTCGTCACAATCACCCTTCTTTGCCATTTCATTACCTTAGAACCTTTTGTTCTTCGTTTCTTTTCCCCCTAGTATTGGATGATTTTCAAACTTCAAATTTTTCAAGCCGATGTTAGACTGGAGTAAAGAAGGTTAGTAATGGATTAGGAATTGCTTATTATTGCTATCTATTTACTCATTATCATAAACAAATAACTTTTGACAATGAAAGACGAAAGACAAACGAAGACAATGGCTGGCTGGCTTGGCTGGCTGGCTTGGCTTAGCTAATCAAATTTTTAAATCTTTTTAACTTTAACTAGTCTAAGAATCTAGAAAACGTTGATCTTCTTGAAATAATTTCATTGTTGAATGATCGCCTTCCCTTTTCAAGAAGTTGAGTCAATCAGCTGATCGAATCGAATCCATCAAAAGAGAACGGATCGATCGAATCATTTTCTCTTTTTTTATCTCATAAAAGCTCTCTTTTCTTTTCTCTCTTCATTATCAGGAGATCTCAAATTTCACTTTTTTATATACAAAACCGGCACATCTTTCCGAAAAACGA